TTTGGCACTACAAAAACTGAAGAACATGCATTTTAAACGTTTGGATCCAGGCAACATAAAGGAGCTAATAAAAACATTTTGGGGTTAGCTACAAAAGGTATTCTGTCAATTGTCCCTTTTTAGAAAGGCCACTGGAATCATGTTATTGGAACAAACTATTTTTTTTAATTCAGTGCTATCAACATAAATGAGTGAAGGTTCGAAAACCGCACAAAGTTTCCATGGAAAGAAGGGAATAAAAGAGCTTGCTAAAACTAATTAGGGATATGGCAGTGTTAAAAAGGGGTTAAATGTTTTAACGACAAGCAAAAATACTGGACTTTTACGGAAACCACAAAACCATGTAATTGTTCAAAACATATTTATTTAAATGCCATTAAAAAATTTTTTATTAATGGTTTAATTTAATCTTTAAATAAATAAGGATACTGTAACTAATTACAGTACTGCAAAAGACCAGACATTTTTCTTGTGGTTAATATAACTATCATTATGAATCTGGTACCCTGACTAACCACAAGTGTATCATCTGCTCAATAACTGTTTTAAATGTGAAAATATGTGTGTGATATATCATTAAAAAAAATATGCAAGCAAAATGTCGAACTGTTAGGCCTCATTCACACACAACGCAAGAGCAAAATTGTATATTCCGTATATATGCGTTTGTGCACTATATGCAATTCCAGAATGCATCATTCGGAATAGAATTTTTAATGAACTGTACGTGGTTACGTGCGCATATGCATGCAAATATGCGTGTAAAATACGCTGCACGGACGCATCTCGGTTCCATTCTGTTTTTGCGCATTTTTACGCTACGCAAATATACGGCTCCATGCGCAGCTATGTGTATGGAGACATTAATTTGCATATGGGACAATACGTGCATATATGCACGGCAGTGTGAATGAGGTCTTATGGTACTACAACACATGTCATTGTTTTCAACATAATTATGTAAATACCACTGAAAAATGTCAATGGTTTAATTTAATGGTATGATGCTGAGCCTCTATAATTGAAAGAACTGAAATCCAGTGAGTGAAAGGGGATGGTCAGGGACAGTCAGGCTGGGGAGAGAAGAGCTAGATGATGGCTGCATGTGCTCCAGCCAAGAAATCAGGCGGGCTCTCTGACTTGCTGCAGCTTCTAATGCACATTGCGAGAAGCTCGCAGTGTGCAGTGAAATCAGAGGAAGCAATTTCAGTCCAGGAGGGGAGCCGCTACAACTGCAAGACTGAAGGGGAGTTCCAGGATTTTGTCTCACAGATGACATTTTTAGTTCTGGGTTGTTTTGAGTTGAAACTTATTTTCTTGTGATGGCTCAAGGACAAAACAGAGTTCTGGTTTCCTGCAGGACTTCAGTTGGTTATCTATGATTTACATTCACATTTCTTATTTTCTCCACTATTCCCTGACCTTGACAAAATGTTTCCATATCTGAGGAATTCCAACCCATCATATTTTCACACAATGCTAACGTGTCAAAACCACCACATTGTGAACTATATTTTGCCGAACATATGAAGAGATATTTAAATTACAGACTAAACACGGAGAGCCTGGTGGCTGGGGACCTGGACAGGTCAGACTCTTCCCACACATGGGAAGAGTTTTGAACCTTGAGTGTCTTTACCTGAAATGGATGTCTTCTAATCGCATTTGTAAATTGTTGGAGGAAGGAAGAAAGGCAAGGAGGGCAGTGACTTGCCTTGCTGGGTCTGTGTGTTTGTGGAGACACACACAGCTTACTAGTACACACAGGGGTGGCTGCATAGCACTCTGCAAGGGAAAGGAGCCACCCTAAAACGGGATATCAGGGGAACAGCTGATTCTGCAGGGAACTAAAACTTTTAGGCATCAAGGAGCAGCATTCATTGTTAGTGATTTCATCAGCATTTGAAATAGATGAAACACGGTTTTACTTTTTATTCTCACTTTAAAGGTTCATGTGATCTCTGCACACGGGTCATGTCTTTCTCACATGTTCTATACAGCACACCAGTGTAGAAAGTAAAGGTTTTGTTTTTCCACTTGCAGGCACGTCAGCTGATCCTTCAGAATGGATTAACCCTGACAGATCTGGAGAGACACCCAGAGGTAACGATGGGTGCTGGAGGGTATTGGGTGTTGTTGGGAATACACAATTACAATTTCATTAGCTAAAAATCTTTCTAATAGTTAATGGGGTCAATGTGGTGATTTGATTGCAACCGTAGTGATGAAACATATTGAAGGGGCAGGATGGAAGATGTTTCTCGAACGAATGAAATTGCAATAGTAAATGTGACTTTTCACGCAGAAATCTCCATTCATTACAAAATTAAATGTTAAAACCAAATTAAAATCTTCAACCATGACTGCTATTAGTCGGATCTCTGATGGAATAATCAGAAATTGTACTGAAATACTTTGCATGAGTGTCCGTATGAAAAATCTACCAGCATATGGCCAGCTTTTGAAGGCTAGTTCCACTTCTGCAGCCAAATTGGGATAACGTCGTCTTTATATTTGTTACATGTTCACATTTCCATAGCAGAAACATTGCTCTTCTCTGGAAACTCCAGGACTGAAACATTCTTCTGAGTTCTCCCTGTTAATGAACGGGCCGGGCAATTGTGTTTAACATAATGGACCCTGTCTGTACTCCGGTGATAGATCTCATTATCGGATGTAAACAATTGCTATGCACTACTGACCTTACAAAAGGGGTTAAGATCTCAGGGCTTGGGTGTTGCATAGTTTGGTAATGCACGTAAAAAAATTTCCCCCAGTCAGTCCCCTTATCTGCTTGTAAGCTCCTTGAGGGCAAGGACTGATGTGAATATGCCCTTTGCAAAGTGCTGCGTATATTGTCAGCGCTCTATAAATACTAATAATAAGCGAAATAAAAACAATATGTATATGAATGAACACATGACATGGTGGGGAGGGGGTTTCTCAAATTTAACAGTAAGGGCTTGTTCACACCATGTTGGGATCATGTCCAGACCAGAATAATTTGTTCCCAGACCAAAAGAGCACCCCAATATATCCCTATGGTATTTCTGGGCTGTGTTCACACCAGCACAGTCCGTTCTGAACCAGACAAAATACTGCTGGTCTTTTTTTTCTTGGTCTGAATACACTATAACGCATGGAAAGACTGCACCTGAAAGCCCTTTTTAAGCTAAAAAAAAAAAGCCTCGAAATGCATCAAAAATGTGGCAAAACGCAATGTACTGCATTCCAGATCTGGTCTGCAAAGTCGTTTGAACCTGGCTTCAAGGCGAAAATACATTACAAGATTCCATTGCAGTGCTACACAATGGTTCCACTTGCTGCTCCTTTATACTGCGCTCACAAGTCTGAGTCGGCCAAACACTTTAAAATGATGTTCTCATGTGGTTGCAAGTTGATTCTGCAAATGCTAGTTGCCTACTGCCATTCTGACTCATTATCTTGCTTTATAACCACTTTACAGAGATCTTCATCCTACGAATCTGTCTGAACGTTTGTTTTGTGTGAAGCGATATGGCCACTAGATAGAGCTGAGGAGCACAGAAGACTGATGCTTTTTTCCTATGCTCCTCAACTCTGTCTAATGGCCAAAAGGCGACAATATTGCATCGCATTCAGCAGCAAAACAAAATATATTGAATGTTTATTGTTTGTTGGTTTGTGCATCTATTCACACCAAACGAAGGTTTAATAACACCTGTCAGTTTTGTAATAAACACTCATGGGTGCCAACTGTCCTGATCTAAATCTTATGGGCTGTGTGTACACTTTTCTGTGTTTTAATGTGCTGTTCTGTTTTCTTCTGCCCCCCCCGCACAGCTTGATGTCGCTATTGATGGTGCTGATGAAGTTGATTCAGTTCTCAACCTCATTAAAGGTGGAGGGTAAGGCCTACTTTTTTTTTTAAATTTTTATATATATATATATATACACACACATTATATATGAGGGTTTTTTTTTATAAATAATTTAGGCATTTAATAGGAATAGTTCTGGGTTGATTAAGGTTGCTACAGTTAGAAAATAGGATTTGTCATGCATTATGGCATCAATGTTGTTTTAGACCCTCCAGCCGTAATGTAAATACAAATCCCATCAGGCATTGTGAGACTCTTGACAGCCACACTCATGACTCCCGGAGGCAGATGCATGATTGGATTTGTAGTTTCACCACAGCTGGAGGGCCAGAATTTCCCTACACCTGTCATATGGGGTCTATTATAATTATGGGGTTTATTTCCTTTTGCTCCTCTGCTCCATCTAGTGGCCATAATGTGTTATTACAACAGTGCATAAGAACTGGGGAAAAATATTATGACAACAATTGCTTTTGGCATTATTGCCCCAAAACGAATGTTCACAGATATTGACAGTGTGAGGGGCCCTGTCTGTTTGTTTATAAATAGACCCCTATGTGTCATTGTGCGTTTCAGACATACATGCATTATGAAAGAGAAGCATTTAGAATAGTTCACTTCCACAGTGTAGATGCATTGTAAAATGTGCAAAGCTGCAGAATAGATGTGTTTTTTGGGGTTTCCCATTAATCTAACATGCAAAAATGCTGTTTTTATTATTTTGAATACAAAGGTATTGTGTATCGATGTAATACAGGCACATATTAATAAATGGGAATTCAACCTCTGAGCAGTAGTAAGCATTCCTTCACACCAGGGACTCTTGGGAAGGACTGGCTATAATGCTTGTTAAAGCCCAATTGTACTTTCCACTTTAATTGGAAAAAAGACGGGTGGATAATAAATACTAGACTCATAAATAGTCACCCTGTACTTTATTTTCTAATTCCTGTCCCAGCCGAAGATCCTCAGGACTCTGACTTGCTGTGTGAGAATCGCGAATGAACATTTATAAACCAACCCCAAAGAGTAGCAGTATATGTTAAAGCGGACCTTTACCCCCTTTCACTAAAAATTACCCCACCATGCAGCTCTTCATGCGGATATGAAATCATCTTGCATTCATTAGTTAAAAAAACATAATTTTCTCTTACAATTTATTGTTTTTCCGCTTCTGGTCTTGAGCATTAGTGATGTAATGTGCCCAAGCGTTGCATCCTGGAAAGGTTACATCAGCCGAGCATTGCTGGGAAATCTCATCTGTAATCTCACGAGATCTCAGGGAAAGGCATTTTCCTCCCCTGAGATGATGTGCATGGTCACATGTGCCAGAGTTCCAGGAAGTAAAGGGAGATACTATAATAAACCCAGACCCTCCTATTCAGGAATCGGTCTGCAAAGGACAGGGCGAAAGAAACCACTTTTTCTTCAGAATCACAAAAGGTAGAACTCTTTTATTGTACATAGATCACCCAGAGGGGATTGTTTCTTTTATCCACACTTTGCATCCACATTGGTGTTCAAGAGTGAGGTTGAACAGCGCCGAGTAATGTGACAAGAATCTGCTTTGTAGTATAAACATTCTGAGATTAAACTGATTTAAATTTCCGATTAAAGCACAATTTCTTCTTGTCCTTGATTTTAATTTTGCTTTTCCTGTTTCTGGGGAATCTCCCTTAATTTATTTTTTTATGGATTTTATTTATTCTTGAACCTTTTAGGGGATGTTTGGCACAGGAAAAAATAGTCGCTGGTTGTGCAAAGTCCTTCATTGTTATTGCAGATTACAGGTACAGTTATCAGTAACATATGTTTATCTTATAGGCTGACTGAAGGGTGAAGAGAGATGTGTGATGCTCGAGAGTCTCTCCCTCTCTCAAACACCCCCCCCATCTCTCACGCTCTTGTACTCGTTTTTTTTTTTTCTTGTTCGCTTTTTTTTTCTCGCGCTAGCTCGTTTTTTTCCTTGCGTTCTTTTTCTTTCTCTTCCCTTGCTCTTCTTTTTCTTTCCCTTGCTCTTTCTGTATGTATGTATAAATATAATTTTCAGTATGTTTGTATTTACACAGGAAAGACTCAAAGAATTTTGGTGACCAGTGGAAGAAGGGTATTCCCATAGAGGTCCTTCCGATGGCTTACGTTCCCGTGACCAAAGCAATAGAACAGAAGTTTGGTGGTGTGGTGGAGTTGAGGATGGCTGTCAGTAAGGCTGTAAGTAACAATGGACATCACAGCCTACTTGGCACAAATGAACGCTGTTTTTAGAATGATCCTACAGGGGGTGGTGATGCCTAAATTGGTACTTACTGCCCTCCTGCCCTCTTTTATCTTTATGAATTACTATTCGATAGTAGGGCTGTCCGTTAAAATAATGTGCCAGCAGAATAACACAATAGGTGTAAGAGGATGGGGCTAGTGTCAGCGACCAGAATGTAATCTTGGTCGGAATTTGCATTACAGGGCAGTCTGGGTTTTTGGCAGTTGGTGTGCAGAGGGGTAACTATTAACGCAAAGTGCCATATTGGAATACTTCCCTTCTACAAGTTGCTTCAAAAAATATATATTTTATATTTAAAACTCAATGGTGGGAATTTATCAAAACTGGAGCAGTTGCTCAGGGTAACCAATCAACTTCTGTCTTCAGTTTGTTCAGTTAAGATTTGAAAATGAAAGAGAGAAGCTGATTGGTCACCATGCACAACTGCTACAGTTTTTGTCTGCTCCAGTTTTGATTAATTCCCCCCAATATATTTTAATATTTAAGTCTGTGCTTTACAGCCAGAGATAGCTCTGAAACCAGAAGTGACAAAAAGCTAGTTGCTTCCATCTTCATTCACTGCAGGTTAATCAATGTGGTCAAGCAGACCACTTAATGTTTTTTCAGGAGCTACTTTCTGTATTAAATAGCAACAATACTAAAACTAGCCATACACTCCAAACAGCTTGGATGGAAAAAAATCTTTAATGCAGGCTGTTGTATCATGTTTATTGTGGTGACACCTGCGACTGCCTGGATATCTGAATCCGTATTATTGGCATCTTACTGCTCGGCCAATAATTTTCCACCCAGTTTCTATGCATTTTAAATTAAGTTTTGTCAAGCCGGGTGGGACACATGGCACGAATCAGGCAACATTTGAGCTGTGTGTGGTTGGCTTCATTTGCAAAATCTAAAGAAAATGGTTTGCTAAAACGTTTAAATTAATAACTATGAATGAACAAAAAATATGGGCATAACTGAGTACTATTTTTTCTTCTGGATAGTCTAAAAAATAATTTGCATTACCTTATCATGACCTGTAGATGGTGCTCTTGCACCAGCTTTGGTTTTTTTAGTTGTACTTGCTCTGTTGGTGGCTACAGTTCCTGGTTATGTGCATTTTACATCCAAATATCTTATGTGTAACTTTTCTATACCTATATTGTAAAAGTCTTTCCCCCCCGACCAGTCCTTGATTCTGTGTGTTTCGACTGGTAATTTATCTCACCTACAGTAGTAAAGCAAACCTGATTTTAGGATTGCAGGTGTTCTGTTGCTAATATCCTTTAATAAATGTCCCTTTTTGTATGCTTCATATTTGCAAATGTGTGTCGTGTACTGTCGGCAGCCTGGTTCCCTAGATGCCTATCAACAAGGCAGATCTGCTTTTCAGTATTATTTTTAGGGATGCATTGATACCGATACTAGTATCGGTGCCTATACCGAGTATTTGGGCGAGTACTCGTCCAAATGCTCTGATACCGGAACTTCTGGTCAGAGGAAGGTTTTCTCTAACCAGCAGTGCTGTAGGGGAACATGGAGCCGGCTTCCTGGGCAATCGGGAAGCCGGGCGGCATGTCATTGCCTGGGAAGCTGACTTCATGCCAGCGGAAGCACCGGTATTGGTTCTCTGTATCGCTGAGTACCGAAAGCAAAATCGGTACTCGTACTCGATACCGAAAACCCAGTATCGGTGCATCCCTAATTATTTCTAAAGTGCTTTTCTTCCTGGGGATATGGAATGCTTATCAAAGTGGTATTGGGTTAGATACCAGGTGAGGTAGCCATCTTGGGAGGCTTGTTAGAATATTATAATAGGGCCAAACATCTTTTATATAACCAAGGCAGGCTAATGGAGTAGATGCCTGGTCACAACTATGCATCCTGATCTTATTCCACTAAGTTAATATATGTATTCCTCTCTGGTATGTTTAGTAAGTACATCGACGTGGACAGACTGAAAACTTTGGCTTATAACAATGCTAAGCATAGACTATGGTGGCTCAGTGGTTAGTAAAGGTCTTGTGTTTATGGTGCACCAGAGACACTGTTTGCATGGAGTTTTTCATGTACTTACATTGCCTGAATGGGTTTCCTTTTGGGTGGTCTTTGTCTAGGGTCCAGATACCTTAATGGCCTTCTACCTAAATACTGTACCATTAAGTACACCTTGCATCAGCCTGTAAGCTCTGCAGGAACTAATTACAACTAAAGACTGATCTATGCATTCTATAAGGAGCTATATGTTATATTGGCACTATAAATAGCTGCAGCTGTTTCTAACACTTTTAGATATTGGCTGATTTGCTTTATTATTTATTTTTCCCTATGATCCAGGGTCCTGTGGTTACGGATAATGGGAATTTTTTACTAGACTGGAAGTTTGACCGAGTTCATGATTGGAATACAGTTAATATAGCCATCAAGATGATTCCAGGTAAGGTGTTAGAGCTTGTAATATCTCATGTGTCCTGTGGGTAGCAGCATCATACTGTCATTATTACACAGATTTTTCTAAATGTCTGTCGTTGGTTACATACAAAGTGTCATTAGGGACACGTGTACCAAGAGAAATGATACAGGCTGCCATAGCTGGTCTCTTTCTAAAAAAAAGACTAATTCCCTGGCTCTCTCAGTTGGTTCTTGGAACAAGTATGCTGCTAGTGAAGTCAGAACTCCTGTTCAGCATACTTCCAGTTCTGTTCCTTAGATAGTGTTTGAAGGCAGTAGATCAGCAAAGATGGTCAGGCAAAAGTATGTTACGGGTTTGTCAATGGTTGCCTACATATTTGCACCTTTGTACCTTTTTTGAGGTCGTGAAAAATCAGCACAAATACAGATATTCAATTTTTTTTTTTTTTTTTTTTTTTTTTTAGTAGTAGTAGTGAAAGTGAACCTGTAAGGATCAAATCATGCAAGCTGCCTTTGCTGACTTGTTTTTAAAATGAAGGATACTGACTTCCTACTGGTCTGCCATCTTTATCACTGCCTTTACTACCCACTGAGCACCATCCTGTGATCCTAGCTCAACTACCTACTGGGCAGCCATCCTGATCCTAGCTCAACTACCTACTGGGCAGCCGTCCTGATCCTAGCTCCACTACCTGCTGGGCAGCCGTCCTGATCCTAGCTCCGATACCTACTGGGCAGCCCTCCTGATCCTAGCTCCGATACCTACTGGGCAGCCGTCCTGATCCTAGCTCCACTACCTACTGGGCAGCCATCCTGATCCTAGCTCCACTACCTGCTGGGCAGAAGTCCTGATCCTAGCTCCGATACCTACTGGGCAGCCGTCCTGATCCTAGCTCCGATACCTACTTGGCAGCCCTCCTGATCCTAGCTCCGATACCTACTTGGCAGCCCTCCTGATCCTAGCTCCGATACCTACTTGGCAGCCGTCCTGATCCTAGCTCCACTACCTACTGGGCAGCCGTCCTGATCCTACCTCCAATACTTACTGGGCAGCCATCCTGATCCTAGCTCCGCTACCTACTGGAGGCCTCCTGATCCTAGCTCCAATACATACTTGGCAGCCGTCCTGATCCTAGCTCCGCTACCTACTGGGCAGCCGTCCTGATCCTAGCTCTGCTACCTACTGGGCAGCTGTCCTGATCCTAGCTCCGCTACCTACTGGGCAGCCGTCCTGATCCTAGCTCTGCTACCTACTGGGCAGCTGTCCTGATCCTAGCTCCGCTACCTACTGGGCAGCCGTCCTGATCCTAGCTCTGCTACCTACTGGGCAGCTGTCCTGATCCTCCGTCCTGATCCTAGCTCCGATACCTACTGGGCAGCCGTCCTGATCCTAGCTCCGCTACCTACTGGGCAGCCGTCCTGATCCTAGCTCCGATACCTACTGGGCAGCCGTCCTAATCCTAGCTCCGCTAGCTACTGGGCAGCCGTCCTGATCCTAACTCCGCTACCTACTGGGCATCCATCCTGATCCTAGCCCCAATGCCTACTGGGCAGCCGTCCTGATCCTAGCTCCGATACCTACTTGGCAGCCCTCCTGACCCTAGCTCCGATACCTACTTGGCAGCCCTTCTAAACCTAGCTCCGATACCTACTGGGCAGCCGTCCTGATCCTAGCTCCGCTACCTACTGGGCAGCCGTCCTGATCCTAGCTCCGCTACCTACTGGGCAGCCGTCCTGATCCTAGCTCCGCTACCTACTGGGCAGCCGTCCTGATCCTAGCTCCGCTACCTACTTGGCAGCCGTCCTGATCCTAGCTCCGCTACCTACTGGGCAGCCGTCCTGATCCTAGCTCCGCTACCTACTGGGCAGCCGTCCTGATCCTAGCTCCGCTACCTACTGGGCAGCCGTCCTGATCCTAGCTCCGCTACCTACTGGGCAGCCGTCCTGATCCTAGCTCCGCTACCTACTGGGCAGCCGTCCTGATCCTAGCTCCGCTACCTACTGGGCAGCCGTCCTGATCCTAGCTCCGCTACCTACTGGGCATCCGTCCTGATCCTAGCCCCAATGCCTACTGGGCAGCCGTCCTGATCCTAGCTCCACTACCTACTGGGCAGCCATCCTGATCCTAACTCCAATACCTATTGACCAGCATCCTTGGCCTAGCTCCAATACCTACTTTCCAGCCGTCCTGTTCCTAGCTCCACTTCCTACTGGGTCGCCATTCTTTTCCCAGGTTTGCTACCTACTGGGAAGTCATCCAAATCCTAAATCCTCCACCTACTGGGCAGCCATCTTGATCCTGGCTTAACTACCTACTGGGCAGCCATGCTGGCCGCTGCTCTACTACCTACTGGATAGCAATCCTAATCTAGTTCCACTGCCTGCTTGGCAGTCATTCTGATCCTAGCTTCTCAACCTACTGGGCAGCCATACTGACCCTAGCTCCACCTGCCATCTGTTCATAGCTTTACTGCCTACTGGACAGCAGTTCTAACCCTAGCTTTATTGACCTGGAACAAGCATGCAGTCACTAAAGTCTGAACTCCCTTCCTGTAGATTTGTTTTAGCTAGGTGAATGGGTAGTTTGTGAAGAAAGGATGGGGATGAATAACTCGATAGTGAAATCGAGTTCAGGTTGAATTTAGCTTATATCAGCTATGTTATGGCTATCCTAGCAGGTTGCCATTAAACCCATTGTAGCAGGAAAGGCTGCCCAAGTCACAGGGTAGGCATAGAACGTAATATCATACTGGGTAAAAGCATTAAAGTGAACCTTGCTGCATTTACCTTCAAATGAAGAAAAGCATAAAAATAACCTACATTAGCTGTCACTTGCTCTCCTTTGAAATGAGCCCTCGTATATTATGAACAGCCCAATTGATCTAATAACACCAATATTATTGTATTGCAAGTAGATATATTAGTCACAGAAGTGCTATAAATAATCCATAGACTAGAGCTGATTGTCATTGGCAGATAGAAGCAAAACACAAAAAGTAAATCGACTCGCTGATCTGAGGATCTGTGCAGAGTCAGGAGGCAGTGGGTATATTTAACTTTCCCAAATCCCTTCCTGTCTACATGCGCAATGGCGGCTACATGGCATTTCTCAGGGTGGGTTTCCTGATGACAACAATGGCCCATGATTGAGTAAAGTGCCACTTGTAATCTCCATCGGAAACCAGTGTGGCAAGGTGCTGGAGCAGGAGCTCAGTTGGAAGACCAGAAAGCATTGTTGTTTTATAACAGGAAGTCCCTGAGTAGGGATCTGTCCAGATTACTGGGTATTACTTTAATAAAAGCTGCACATGAAGTAATTTTTAAAGCCATGTTAAACCTTATATGAGATTTAATAACCGAGTTGCTAGATGGTGGTGTAGAGTGTTTCCAGTATAGAAAAACCTTGTTTCTAAACAAACAAAAAACGGCTAAATAAATAATGTCATGGTGTTCAGAGCCAGGGTAACAGACTGCATGCAGCTCAACAAACAGATTTTGGAGTCCCTTATGTTGGGTAATTCGGGAAGAATATAAAAACTGTGTCTTGGAGGTTAGCACTTTCTGCCTTGCAGTGCTCGGTCCTTGGTTTGATTCCTAGTCAGGACACTACCTGCATGGAGTTTGCATGTTCTCCCTGTGTTTTTATGTGAGTTTCCTTCTGATAATCCAGTTTCCTCCCACACACTAAAGACCTGCTGGAAAATAAATTGTCTTCTTTCTAAATCGGTCTTAGTGTGTGCGTGTATGTAATCGCTGTTCAGCTGCCAATCTTTGTGCAATCTCTTTTACATTTACCAAACTAGACCTAGTAAGGGGCTAATTATACAATCTGATCAATTTGTGACCATTAAGACAGGCTCTTCTACTACATAGTTTTTGGTAGACCTTAAGAATGATACAATCAGATCGTAAGATTTATGGTCAGTTTAGATCATACTCGAAAGATGGCCAGATAGGGCAGTAATCATCATGTGTGTGGTTATTAAAAATCCTCAGTCAATCATTCCTGGGGTATCTAATGATCAGCTGGCTTGCAGAGCTAACTGATGAGACCACCACCGGGAATGTGAGACTGTTCCCTCCCCTCCCCCCCCAACTATTCTATGGACCATTGTCAGGATCGGCGGCAGGAGTGACCACAATTTAAATGTTTTACAGCCATATCAGTTTTTTACTACAATGGTGGACTTAATGTGCTGAAAGGCTACGAGGAGGGTACCGTATTCAGGGATCTTTGTGCTAGTCTTGAGTCTAGGTCTTGGGTGCAGCATTCCAATCAGGAATACATTGATTGCTGATCCGATTACCTCTAATAAACAGAATTCGTGAAGAAGTGCTTGAAGTACGAAATGCATTGAATGTAAACTATTCTAATGATCATAAAGAAGAAGCAACTTTAAACCAAGTGACAAACACACTATAAGGTTTCTCTTTATTTTTCATTATGTTATATTCATGTTTTGGAGTCCTTTATTGGAGGTGTTAACAAATTTGTACATCATAAGGAAGGAAGTGTGGATGTCTACAATCATGTATTTTTTTTTTTATACGGCTTTTAATACTTGTTATACATTAAATATGTTTTTTTTTTTTTAAATTTTTGGCTTCGTCACTAAGCATTTAAAAAAA